GATCCTTACTAACCTACCGGCCTTCCGCAAAGCCACCAAGTCCTGGCTGGTCCAGCAGGCTGGGGCTAGCTGCGAAGCAACTACCTCCACGGAAATTGTGAATGTTGGTTTTGTTTTTAATATGTTGTCTTTGTCTTGTTCCCCCCTTTCCCTTGTCTTTTGTGAGCCACCCGGAGTCCTCCGGGAGTGGGCGGCATACAAGACAAACAAACAAACAAACAAACAAACAAATAAATAAATAATACATGACCCCTGGGACACTGCAATCATCATAAATATGAATCATTTGCCCAGAATATGAATTTTGATGATGTGACCATGAGGATGCTGTAATGGTTGTAAGTGTGAAAAATAGTCATGAGTCACTTTTTTTCAGTACTGTTGTAACTTCAAACCATCACTAAATGAACTGTTGTTAGTTGAGGACTACTTGTACTGAATATATTTAACTGTATGGTGTCTTTTGCTGCTTAATCTTCTCAAAATCCTTTCTTTTATTCCAGCACCCCTTCCCCCCTTTTTCAGCATGCTGGCCACCCACCAAATTACGTGGAGATGATTCGGTATCATGGAACTCCAGATTCTTCTGTGGTAAGTCAAATGAGATAAGTTGATGACAGCTGTCTGCTGTTGCTTGCCCTTCAAAGATGGTAAACTACAGGTCTCAGAATTTCTGGAAAGCGCAGCCAGTGGAATTCAGGGAGTTGTATTCTTTTTTTAAAATATTTTTATATTAATTTTTTCTTAATATAAAATACAAATGAAAATAGGCAGTGGGGAAAATCAGTAAAGGGACAATGAAAAAAAGGTGGGGAAGAAAGAAAAAAAGCAGTGTCTTCCAACTTTTTTGGTGCAGCAAATTCTATATTAAAAATTATAATCTCAATTTTTTATATAGGATTAAATTAGCCATTTCTATAACAAAAAACATATTCAATTATTAAAATGCAAAGTTAGAATTCTATTTTTTACCCTCTTTTGAGCAGGAAGTCCAGGACGGTTTCCAAATGGAAAAAAAATTACATACGTTCTTATCCTTAATTAAGACAATTAATTTTGCCATCTCTACCAATTCCATCATTTTTTTCAATCCATGGAATTGACATACCTTTCCATTTTTGTGCATATAAGATTTTTGCTATAATCAGCACATATAATAGCAAAGTTCCAATTTTTCCCTCCAAGTTCTTTATCCATTAGCCCTAAAAGAAAAAAATTCAGATTTTGATTATATATTCATTTTCTGAAATTTGGGGAGCTGTATTCCTGACACATTTGCAGAGTCCCAGCTTCCAAAAAACTTCTGTATTGCAAACTATTCTTGCACTTTAAAAAAGATTCAGAAAGAAGAGGGAAGTTATGATTGTCAGAATGCTGGAAGCTAAATTGTATGAGGAGTGATGAAAAGAATCGGGGATGTTTAATCTTAAGAAACAAGAAATCTTTGTCTGGAGGTTAACATCTTAGAGGCACATAAAACTGTTTGGTTTTCAATCATATTAACGCCGCCATCTTGATTTTTTAATCTCATCTCACCCTACAGCAGGGGTATCAAACTCAAGGCCCGGGAGCCAGATCTGGCCCGTGGGGTGCTTAGATGTGGCCCATGGGGCCACCCTGGAAAGCTTGAAGGACAGGTCCACAGTGCCTCTGCCAATGGCAAAGGGTTGCAGCAGGCAGTCGCAGATGAAAATGGAGCTTGGGAGCCCATTTTCTCTGGCAAACCCCTCAAGCCAGCAGAGGTACCCCTGACAAGAGTGACATTGAGCTGGCCACACCTGCTCTGGTCACCAAGGTCAAACACAACTCTGATGCAGCCCTCAATGAAACTGAGTTTGACACTCTTGCCCTACAGATACTCTTGATTCTTCTGTATCATTTCGAGGCTATAGAATTCTCATGCTTGATTCTCATATTCTATCTTTTGCAAGAATTACATCTGGCTTTCCTTTTTTAAAAGCATCTTGGACACAGATGCCCCTAAAAGTGTTTATTTTCTCAGACGTTTCATCATTGTTGCTGTTAACACTTTTTTTCTGTATTTTTTAATTTTATATTTTACTTCTGCAAGTTAAACTAAGAACAAGATTTCATCGTTGTTGTTATTAACACTTTTTTTCTGTATTTTTTAATTTTATATTTTACTTCTGCAAGTTAAACTAAGAACAAGAGATTCTCAGGACAGAAATTTGGTTCTGTCAACAAGTGAAAGTCACATAGTGCAAAGTTTGAAAAGTACTGGGCTAAGCAAGCGCCTAATAAACCATGAAAAAAATATAGGTATAAGAAAGAGCTCCACCACATTTGGACAACTGTTTAGAGCAGTGTTTCTCAACCTTAGTAACTTGAAGATGTCCGGACTTCAACTCCCAGAATTCCCCAGCCAGC